ATGTGTATTCGAAAATCCTGCTTGCGATATACATGGTGTTCAAAATGAATGAACAAAATTTGGTTTATTTTAACTGGCAGAAAAAAATGGGAGAAGTCACGAAATTATCCTCAATTTTATTCTTAGATAACCTGGTTACTTAAAATGACTATTTTTACTTAAAAATTAATTTGATGTTTTGACATGTTTAGCTGTAATTACCTAGACATGGTCTAACATTTTATGATTTATCTCAAAAATGGTGTATTCTAGCAAGGAAATTTTTAAAAAAGCTTTTTATATTCCCTAAAAAAAATAAAAGATTTTAGCACCAAAAATGGTGAAACTTTTAGAAAAAGACTAGGAAGGAAGAATAAAGATTAAAGTAGTTAGAAAAATATAAGATTAATGGAAAAAGGATAGAAGCAGTCAAAAGATTATAGTCAGTGTCAAAACAATTCACAGGAGTCCATGAATTTACCATAAGTCTTAATTCATTATTTCGGAAAGAAATATCTATCTATGATGTACGAGTATGTACATTTTTATATGTTGTCAGCTGCATGAAACATTTCCAATAATGCAAAACTAAGTAAGAAACATAAACCTATTGGTTTACCCACCCTGGACTGATTGCCACATCGTAAATTAAGACTTATTGACATTTCGTGAGTGTTTCTTCAGAAGAAACCCTCAAAACAAACGACGCAGGGCGTTGTGACGCCCTGTTTTGTTATCCTCGGAAACATACTGATTTTNCAAATAAATAATTATAATATTGCTTATTTTATGCTTAAAAATTTAAAAGTTATAAACAAATGAAGTTATTTTTGAGACGATTAATAAATACAAAATTCAACATATTCAAACTATTTTCTCCTATAATACTTTAAAAGTTCCCGCCTCATGTTACTTTCATGAGCAGTAGCAACTATAACAGGTTTAGTAGTAAACCAGTATAGTACAATCATGGGCAACTTAATGTCACCACCATCCGAGCGATACTCTTTCTATCGCGCCCCACTACAAATTCTTGGTGCGCATTGACATTACAAAGCGCTTCGTTAATGAGTTAAAGGAGGATAGATTTACTAGAAAGAGCTAGGTCGTCTATTCTCAGTATTTGCACTATTCGGAACCTCCTGAAAATAAGTACCTACTTGGGTTTGCTTTTTTCTCTTTCAAGTCTTCATTCGCGTTTGTTTTTTTCTTCACAAAAATTTTCCTGTTTTTCTAAAAGAAAATCCCAAAACTTCTGTGCATAATTTTTTTGTACCATACATACTTTTTTGAAATTGTTTAATTCTTTTCTCGATATTTATTTGGCTAAATTGAACATAAGAGATTTAGAATTACAAGAATAAAAATAAAGAAAAAAGAATGAAATTTTGCTTAATACATGAAAACACCTTATTAGAAATTATAACACACATGTGCACATTTTTTACGAAATTTTTTTCATCTTTTTTTGTCGGACTGACGATTTGCGGATATATTTTTGTCGGACATTACAATTTTTACTTATAAAAAACACTTTTCTATCTTGTGTTATTTGTGTCCGACATGTGGTAATCGATTTATCATACCCCGTGAAAATCCCGATTTCCAGCTGTCGGACTGAAAAAACGCGCTTGAAATTTGTCGGACAACAATACTTTTTGACTGAATTAAATATTTACAATTAATTTTACTAAAAATTACCTATGTGGTAATTGATTTTCAATACCCTGTCATTTTGGCATGTTTCGGCCGGTAGACACGTCAATGTCGAACAAATTTAAATCGGCATTTGCAACAAAATTTCCAGTAATTTAAGCTAAAAAAAAGATGTGGTCTTGACTTTTCAAGATCCCGGGAAATTGCCATGTGTTTGGACTTTTCCGAGTGAAAAGCGGAGGAATCGAGAAAAGTCGCAGAGGAAAAGTGTGGTAGACTTGTCAAAACGAAGCTCCTCACGAGTTATAAAGCATGTGGTAAACAACTTTCCAGGGGAGGCCTGTACTGTGGACTATAATAGCAGGGTTTGAATATTTGATAAATATCAGTCAGTACATAAGTGAAAACAATGGTAGATTTATTATATAGGGTATAACTAACATGCTTGGTCAAACTTTAGTGCTGGAAAAAAGTTAAATGTGTATTCGAAAATCCTGCTTGCGATATACATGGTGTTCAAAATGAATGAACAAAATTTGGTTTATTTTAACTGGCAGAAATAATTGGGAGAAGTCACGAAACTATCTCAATTTTATTCTTAGATAACCTGGTTACTTAAAATGACTATTTTTACTTAAAAATTAATTTGATGTTTTGACATGTTTAGCTGTAATTACCTAGACATGGTCTAACATTTTATAATTTATCTCAAAAATGGTGTATTCTAGCAAGGAAATTTTTAAAAAAGCTTTTTATATTCCCTAAAAAAAAATTAAAGATTTTAGCACCAAAAATGGTGAAACTTTTAGAAAAAGACTAGGAAGGAAGAATAAAGATTAAAGTAGTTAGAAAAATATAAGATTAATGGAAAAAGGATAGAAGCAGTCAAAAGATTATAGTCAGTGTCAAAACAATTCACAGGAGTCCATGAATTTACCATAAGTCTTAATTCATTATTTCGGAAAGAAATATCTATCTATGATGTACGAGTATGTACATTTTTATATGTTGTCAGCTGCATGAAACATTTCCAATAATGCAAAACTAAGTAAGAAACATAAACCTATTGGTTTACCCACCCTGGACTGATTGCCACATCGTAAATTAAGACTTATTGACATTTCGTGAGTGTTTCTTCAGAAGAAACCCTTTCTCCAATGTCGTACTGGTCCTTGATTTTCATGAATATGTTATTTCTAAATTCCAAGTAATTGTAACTCATCTCGACTGAAATATCTGGATTCTCTTAGATTTTTACTGCCTCCCTGTAGAGTATTGATCAAAATCTTCTCCCTTTTCCCAGAATTGTGATATCAATTAGATCTATCGTATGTCACAGAACTCTGTGCTGCTCACTACTTCGTAACTGTTGATGCTTCAGGGTTGTTATTGTTCAAGTGAAATTTGTGTTCTTTGAATACTGATATGTCTTCTCATTTGTCCAACGTATAATTTTCTTTATATACATGGAATACTGTTTACCCCTAGACCTTGACGAAAAACGGTCTCCATCTTCCTTCCTTCCTTGAGGAATTTAAATCGAGACCAGGGGTTAGAAAGCGACTCATTTGTATGTACCGGAACGCTTTGGATCAGATCACATAGCCAATAATACTACTCAGAGGATTTAATATAAACTTTCAGAGTTTCAGTCTTTTAGAGAGAGCGACATTTCAATTGAAATGTCAGGTACAAACCGACAATGCAACACCCAGACTAAAATATGTAAATTTACAAACTGATTGTTTTATCATGGTATATGCGTTGGTCATGTAAACGGCTGAACAGAAACAGGTATTTTATTTCAAATTAAGGTAAATAACGAAACCATAAACAAATGACGCAGGGCGTTGTAACGCCCTGTTTTGTTATCCTCGGAAACATACTGATTTTATTACATATGTTGAAAGAGAAGAGTGTGAATAAGGAGGGAAGTACTTTGAGAGGAGACAATGACCAATAATGTATAAAATTAATAATTATTAAGTTAAAAGAATAAAGTTCGATTATTTTCTGGACAGACCTCGTAATCATGATGTTTATTGAATTTTGAAACTCTTATTCTAAGTCCAAACATTGTATTTACATGACAAATGAGTTTCCCATGATAAAATTATCACCCTGAAAAATGCACTTCTCGTGAATCAACGTACAATTAACTTTTTCATCCTGAAAACGTCCTTCACAAGTAATTATTAAAGCCTGCACAACTATTTCAGTTTCATTAACTCGTAATTCAATTAAAAACTTCAAAGCACCAGAGAAAAAACAATTCCTCGGAGACACGTGGTACAATTTAATTATCTTAGCCTGCAACTCTTAACATTATTATATTTTTGTTTTGCTAATTATCTCTTTTGCCATTGTCCGAATAGCTTTCCGTAAAATATGAAGAGAGTATTACGAAAGTACAGAAATAGATTAATACAAGGCAATTAAGACTCCTACGATGCGGAATTATAAGCTACTTAACAAAGGAAATATCTATTATGAGAGCTGAAATCCGTGCTTGATTTTTTTTTATTTACTTCTGGCAATTAGCAATGCGTTTCGTAGACAATTTGCTGAAAAAGTAGGATTTTATTTTAAAAATCAAACTGAATTCCCGACTGAATTAAAGAATTTCCATTCAACGTACAAATATGTATTTCAAGCTTTTCACAGGTGATAGAGATAAGAGAACAGATACTGTCAATAGACCCTATTACAAAGAAGTAACAGAACATTGAGAATCACAGGAAAATTTATTTCAGAATAAAGTTTAAAATGATCACAAGGGATGGATGGATTCAGGAAATAAAAATAACATTGGAACCGAATTGGAACCTTGTGGAACGCCAGATGCAGAAGGAAGCCTCAAAGTAAGGTTTTGATTTGTGATCATAGATTATCTGACACTTAGGAAAAATTTCAATTAAAGCCCCGGAAATGTCAAATCTTTGTGTTTTCAAAAGGATTCCGCCTTAGAAAATATTAGAATTTATCTTTTCAGAGGCTTTAATTAATGAATAAACTAATGAATATGAAACTACATTAATTGACTAATCTCGTGTACATATATGCTAAGAGAAGCAAATTAAAAAATGCTTTTCACAATATTTTAACGACGTGCCTCATTTAGCGTACATATTCTCTGTACTTTTTCACTGCAGGACGTCATGTTCGTTGGAAAGCACTGTATGTATCTCGTTACAGGAATATCATTTGCATATTCCTGAAACTGAAAACTTACGTATAGGATTTCTCTTCTATAACATGGAGCCGTACATTTACAAATAGTATGAAAAAAGTCACGCGGTCAGTACAAAAATTCAGATATGTAATCGAGATTCCACAGAAAATAGAATTTATAAAATTGTCCTTACCTGATATTCCGTCGTATGTCCACCATTCTTGCCAGTTATCACATCCAACTGAAACAAAAATAATTTCAACACTTTGCCACCTCTATAAATGGTTCTAAAATACAGTGTTCACAAACTTATTATGCCATTTTTGAATTGTACGGTAAATTCTGAACACTTTTTGTGTAACATACCATATCTCTAAAATCAGCGGTTTTCGTAATAACGACGTTTGAAAATTGATATTTTCAAAAACACAAATAATTAAATAAAATGTTTAAATTGGACAACCTTGAACATTTTTCTAAAAGCCAACAAAAACAACCTGGTATGCCAAATTTTATCTTAAACAAAACAATTTTCTTCGTATTAATCGTTTTTCATTCCTTGACCCCTAGACCATTTTGATGTAGTATTTTGCAACAGCAAAAACCGGCGTTTAGTTTGTCAGTGTCATTTGGTCGGTTTTACGTTTCACTTTAAAAATGCATTTATCTGAGAAAGAATGTTTTGATGTACTTATGATGATCGGTTTTGGAGATAACAAGAAGTGTGTCACTTATTTTAATTTAATTCATCCTGATCGACCTCCAATTACTAGATCTACTGTCAGCAAAACTGAATTGAAATTTGTTGAGCACGACCTTTTACCTAAAGGAAGACCAGCAGAAATATCAGAAGATTCTAATCTAGACGTTTTACTAGAAACTGAAAATAATCCGTTAGGACAATCTCCAGGAATTGTAATTTGTCATCGGGATCAGTGCCACAAATACTCCGAAAAAATGAATATCATCCTTATAAGGTTCAAGTGATACATGAACTATTAGAGGACGATTTTGACCGAATAACACTGTTTTATGAGCAGATAATTGAGATGAATAATCAAAACTTAGATTTCACGCGAAAGATTATTTTTTCTGATGAGGCTACTTTTGTTTTAAATGGACACATAAACAGATAATACTGCAGGTACTGGACAACTGAAAATGTTCATTGGACACAAGTCTGTCACACACAGCATCGTCAAAAAATAAATGTTTGGACAGGTATTGTCGAAAACCGAATTCTTGGACCTTATTTTTTTGAAGAAAATTTAAATGGAGAACGCTATTTAGACTTTCTTCAGTTTGAACTCATTCCCGCTTTAGCCGTTGTGTTTTCTAATCCACAAGATCCAGATACTCCTCATAATGACATATGGTTCCAACACGACGGAACACCTCCTCATTTTGCAATTGCAGTTCGATAATTTCTTGACTTAACTTTCCCTAATAAATGGATTGGACACAGATATTCTATTGAGTGGCCACCAAGGTCACCGGATTTAACCCCTTTAGATTTCTTCTTATGGGGTTATTTGAATTCTAAGTTTATGTGAATAAACCAAATAATATCGACGACCTGAAACAGAGAATACGCCAGGAAATAAGACTTATTCCAGCAGAGGTAATTGATTACGTTACGGGAAAGCATCCTTCGACTACAAAAATGTATTGATGTCAACGGACAAAACAATAAATATTTATTTTAAAGCAACTGTTATTTAAATAATGTTTTATGATTAAACATTATTTTTTTTCCATTTCCACAATAAAACGTACTTTGTTACAATTAATTATTGTGTGCGAAAGTGCGAACGTACGACATTTTGAGGCTATATCAAATAAAAAGGCGGTTTTTAAAACCTCTAATGTAACATTTGGCCCCGAAGATTTCAGCAACGAAAAGGGGGATTCTTATATTACAATCTTCCGTTGTTTTGTCGTATCGTCGATGTGTCGTCTTCACACTTGAATAGTGGAGATTCAATTTATGGAGTTGTATTAAGAAATATAAAGCAAAGGGGACAGTGTCGTGCGCGGGTATCATTTTCGGGTCGCAACCATCAAATATTTAGTACTGAGGGGTTACCCTTGCTACTTATAAGCGGATTGCGTAGTTGTAAAATGTCTTTCTTGGCTTGCAGCCACTTATGTTCGAGTTTCTGGCAATCTAACTCGACTTTTTTTTCACTCGATGCCCTACTTTAATAGTCCTGGCTACTCACCACAATTTAATTTCGCTTTTCGCCGCCAAAAAAGTACTGAACTAGAAAAAAAAACATACCGTAACAGCTGTTACTTCAAGTTAATTTAACTCGAACTATTCAACTTGTTTTCTTTGTTCGAAAATAGCAAATTGATGCTCGCAATATTACAGTGGTACAACCTTATTCCAGACATAGAGGCAACTTTATCTCTTAAAACCTTTTATTAATTTATACTCATGCTTAATAAAACGCCCTGTATAATATAAGAAAAAATATACATAATTTATCTACATGTCCGATCAATTTTTAAATTCATAGGATGTTAAATGAAGAAAGTTAAAAAATTTAAGACTGATTGTTAACACAGTGTTGTGTCATGGTCTCCCAACGTTTTCGATTTGTCTCCATGCGATTGTAAGTTTCTAATCTTCCACATGGTATCTAATGACCAACTGTAACCTAAATAATTGTACAAGCAAAACAAAAACCAAGAAACAAAAGTTTCTAACAACAACGAATTAATTATTATTAGACGTGACTTGCGCAGAATAAAACAGAAAACTGGTTTTTGCTTTCAACGAACTATTTCATTACGTAGTGGCAATCCCTGTAAGAGAAGTAGTGAATTGAAAAATCCCACTGTTCTGCTTTCGGATGTACAAAACGAGAACAACAACCTTCTGTGTCAGATAAATGAGATGAATTCTTACTCAAAGCTCTGGTTGCTCCGATGATATTAGTTTCTAGAAACAAGAATCCTAATAATGGCGGGATATAATATTGCCTGGCTCGGATGGATAAGAAGGAGACAGCTCGGCAATAACTATTTGAATGAAAAATAATACATGTCTCTTTAAGTGTGTACAGAAAACTTATTTGTGTAGACAAATCCATTTTATATTTCCCGAAATTATTTTACTATTTTACTCGCATTATTTCGAGCGTAGATGAAATGGTTTGACATGGTTCATCAAACGAGTCATTAATATTAATGACGNAATTTTCCACATGGTATCTAATGACCAACTGTAACCTAAATAATTGTACAAGCAAAACAAAAAAAAAGGAAACAAAAGTTTTTAACAACAACGAATTAATTATTATTAGACGTGACTTGCGCAGAATAAAACAGAAAACTGGTTTTTGCTTTCAACGAACTATTTCATTACGTAGTGGCAATCCCTGTAAGAGAAGTAGTGAATTGAAAAATCCCACTGTTCTGCTTTCGGATGTACAAAACGAGAACAACAACCTTCTGTGTCAGATAAATGAGATGAATTCTTACTCAAAGCTCTGGTTGCTCCGATGATATTAGTTTCTAGAAACAAGAATCCTAATAATGGCGGAATATAATATTGCCTGGCTCGGATGGATAAGAAGGAGACAGCTCGGCAATAACTATTTGAATGAAAAATAATACATGTCTCTTTAAGTGTGTACAGAAAACTTATTTATGTAGACAAATCCATTTTATATTTCCCGAAATTATTTTACTATTTTACTCGCATTATTTCGAGCGTAGATGAAATGGTTTGTCGGGGTTCATTGCAAACGAGTCATTAATATTAATGACGCCAAGATTTATGTATTTTTCGTTACCAGTACCATCCCTGCAATATTGGTTGCTTATTATTTCAAAAACTGCCAATAGAGGATATCCATATTTTTGGAAGTAGTCTTACTTACATTGATTATGTTATATATTATGTTTATAAACGTGGAAATTATTTTAAAAGGATATTTTATTATCCTGTTTTTAGTTAAATAGGTATTTCTGCAACATCGAAAAGAAAAAAAATCTGCCGAAAAGCCAAAGACTGTATTCCACAAATTTAATTTTTACTGTTTTGTGTGTTACAACGTAAAAAGATGCTCTAGTTAAAATCACTAAAAACGCAATTGACTACCCTAAGGCCAACCAACTACATTTCCTTAATACTTATGCGGGATATCCGAATTCGATACTTTTGGGGTACCTTTGTTAGATCAAAGTACCTAAACCGGTTTAGATAAAAAATTACCTTAATACAGTTTTGCTTCCTTAAAAAAATACGGGCCTCCAAAGAAATGAAATAATTTTTACGGCCCACAACTTTTTAAAGTAATAAGGTAACTTGATCTAAATCGATTTATTTCCATACAAGGAAGCTCTCTTTAACGGTCGGGCCATTCGCTTTCGGACACTCTGTACCTTAAAGAATAAATAGTTGATTCAGGGACTGTTATTTGCGTTCTTTTTCTAAAGAGCCGGTATATTTTCAGCGATTTTAGCAGTATTTTTATGTAAAATTAAATTTTACATTATAATATAAATATAGGGGAAGCTTTTAAATTCGTCGGTCAATAAATTAATGCACTGTATCAGAAATAACGTTATTAATTAGTTTGATGGAACAATAGTGATTGAATTAAAAAACGCTCAGATTTTTTTGTAAAATTATTATTTTGACAAATAGTAAAACATTGAATCTATGCTATATATAAATAACTCAGATAATTACTTGATTTACATATATTTTCCATAGTTCTAAAAATCTAAAATGACGAAGAATTTGCAGATTCACCACTGAAGATGCGGATAGTAAAGAACGGCGAAACGTTTGGTAGTATTGGTTGAGACCAGTTACAGAGACGAACGTCTCAGAAAATCACCATTGCCTCAGGAGTGGTTCCATCCGTATAGCGGTCTTCGACCCAATAAGAACCGAAATGAACGTCAGGGTTGGCAAAGGGGTTCTAATAGCGGATCCGCTCTCATAGAGCCTAGCCCGAGAGTAACAAGGACAGGTCAAAGTTGCCTAGGTAGGCTAAGGAAGTGAAACGTAATTATATAACTGGCGGTGATTTAATAATTACAGTCCGTACAATATTTGTTGAGATGGAATTCCAAAAATAATAAGCCAATAAAGTTCAGTTATCGGAATTACTCTAAAAATTTATCGAGACAGGGGCGTGATGAACGCCATGCCGCCAAAGTCTTTCTACCTCGAATATCGAATGCGGTTAATTGGAAAAAAAATGACTTAGGGTCTTCTTG